ATGCATCCACATGTTATCTTGTGGAACACCCCATCTCAATGGTGAGCATGCAAAGCCATGGTAGATAAAGTGTAAATCAACATGGCTGGACAGTGTCGATTTCCCACAGAGTGGGATAAATAAATAGAGAAAGGCCCCTAAAAAGAAAGAAAAGTATGAATAAAAACTTCCCAGTTAGAGTCGCACCAAAGTTTGAAGAACAGCCATAGGTGGCAGATAAAACCCTGATGAAGAGGAAACCGCAATATGATGGAGATAGTGGGAGATGAACATACTGGGTGTGGTCCACATTCTGGACTATAGAATCTCCTCAATTGGACAATGAAGACGAGAAGCAAAGGAAAAAGTCAGGTGTCGGATCTGACGGGAGGACACCTGGAACAAATTCTGGGAGGTATAGGCCAATTGAATTAAATGGTAAGGGTAGAAGGTGAGAGATCATGAAGGGAGGAGGATTGCCATGGGATAAAAAGTCAAGAACGTGCACTCCAGAAAGAAGCAGTATAGGCAATATAACAAAGAAGAGCCCTGACCAGGCACAGAAGCCTATCTGGATCTGGTCAAGGGTAAAGATGGAAAATGGAAGGAAGGGAAATAGGAGAAAAATAGGAACCACCCTCCCTAGCAGCTGAGGCCTTCAGGAGAAAGGAACAATCTGGATAAAGAGAAGATGGGTAGGGTGTTAAAGGGTATGTGAAATGTCAACAGCAAAAAAAAATCAAACCCTCGATGTCCACAGGCTAAGAGAAGAAGGAAATATGTTTTAAGGGAAAGATGAAACATGGAACACGAGGAAAGTGGTTCAAAGGTAGGTAAAGTTAAGGAATGGAGTACGACATTAACATCTCAATCCAGAAGGGTAGGTCACCTGGGATGGCAACATATCTGGAAGGAATGCATGGCATGGTAAGGACAGAGGAAGTAAACCCTCTATGGTATCAGGAAAAATGAAAGATATGGGATAAGGCCACCCAATATCCTGATAGTGAGGAGACCGAAGATCCATGGTCAATCGGACTACAAGGCAAAATAAGTAAGGTGCTGAGGCAAGTCCAAAGGAAAGGGCCTGAAATTGATAAACTACCCCGATATGGACAAACCGACGATAAGGATGAGACTGAGGTGATATCGGTATATGTAGGTAAGCATTGGAGACATCCATTTTGGTCATCCTCAACCTCGGATAAAACGCCCATCTCAGGGTGAGAAAAGACTCCATGCTGAACCGGGGTAGTGAAATGAAGCAGTTGAGGTGAGATATATCGATTACTGGCTGCCAATTTCCAGTTTTCTTGGGAACAATGAAAAGGCGGGAATAAAAACCCTGAGAAGGATGGGGAACAGGTTTTATGGTCCAGTTCCAGAAACAAAGTTGAACTTGAAGCATTGAATAAACAAAAGAGCATGTCTGAACACAAGCACTGCCAAACGAGAAATGGTAGTTCAGTAGAGGAGTGTAGAGGGAGTCATATGCATCATGTGAGCATGTCATGCTCCTATTGGTGGGGAGGTGATGCATGATGATTTGTATAAGAGACATGTTGGAATCTCGCAATTCCAATAAAAGGGGGGAGGGGCAGAAGGCTTGTAGCATGCATAAAAAAAAGTTTGCATATAGAGGGCAGCACTGAATGGGAATAGCTAATCTTGTGAGAGGAGGTAAGTACCGTATTGGAAACTGTATAATTAGATCTGGGTTGTTACTAACAAGAATACCAATGCAATAATTATGGGAGCTTTTAATTTTAGATACCTTGATAATTACATGATCTACAGACAATAAAGATCCATTTGGGCTTATAGGCTGTTCTTGCACAGCCAACCTTAGGAGAAGTAAAAAATTTAAACTATCCTTTACTTTTCATGAAATTGATTGACCTTTTAAATTCATGCAAAGTAATGGCCTCCACTAATGCCAACAGCAATTCACTCTCTCTCTCTCTCTCTCTCTCTATATATATATATATATATATATATATATATATATACTACTACTACCTTAGTAAGTAAATATAATTACTACGTTTACGTGTACGCTACGACGTACGTACTTACCTAACT